GCGTAAACATCGATGACAAGGAGATGGCCATGGCAGTGCTCAACGGTCTGCCTGCCCGTTTCGAGGATCTCATCGTTGCACTTGATGCTCTCGGTAATGAGGAAAAGATATTCAGTTTGGACTTTGTGAAAAGTCGTCTGCTGCAGGAAGAGCAACGAGCAAACATGAAGTCTAGCTCCTCACAGACATCGGCTCTGGTTAATCGTGCCCCGAACAATCGGGACATAAACGATTACAAATGCACGAACTGCGGTCATACAGGCCATACGGCAACCCGCTGCTGGGGAAAGGATTTGAATGGGCGTCGCCCGGCTCCTCCTAGCGGATATAAACCGCGTATGTCTCAGCGGAAACAATCTGCATTTGTCACACAGAAACCTGATCCCGACATGGTTGTAAACAGCGTCGACTTCACATGTCTGATGTCGAAAGCTTCGCACACGAACGATATGGAGATGTTGCCTTCGTGGCTCGTAGATTCAGCTTGTACAGCTCATATTACATATGACCGATCTTTGTTTGCGACGTATGAGCCACCTGAATCCGCCTCTGTTCAGATGGGAACCAAGGCTAGTGCAAAGGTTGCCGGCCGTGGTGACGTTCACTTGAAGTTAAATGTGAATGGCCGCATCGAACCGTGCAAGTTGACGGATGTATTGCACGTTCCGGACTTTGCGTTCTCTCTGCTCTCTGTCAGTCGAATGACTGAACTTGGACTAAAAGTTGGGTTCGAAAATGGAAAATGCATGATCAGACGAGGCTCAACTGTAGTGGCGACTGCGACATTGGTTGGAGAACTTTACGTTCTCGACATCGTCAGTGACATCGGATCTGCACATGCTGCCACCCTGCAAACGTGGCATGAGCGCTTTGCACATGTGCATTCTCAAGGTATTGCTTCGATGATTCGTGACAATGTGGTAAGTGGAGTCAAACTACTTGGTAATGAGGCTAACAAAATCAACAATACTGACAATGATTGCATCTCTGAAAAATGTTCTGCGTGCGTCTACGGCAAAGCCACTCGATCTGTGATCCCAAAAGAGCGGTCCTCGAGGCGGGCATACTTCTGTCTAGATTTAGTTCACTCTGATGTTTGTGGCCCCTTAGAGGTGCAGTCCATTGGTGGTGCCAAGTACTTCATTACCTTCATAGATGATCACTCAAACTGGTCGGTAGTGTACCCTATACACCATAAATCAGAAGCATTTGAACGATACAAAATGTTTGCACAACTTGCTCAGACTCACACTGGTCGCAAGATCAAAGTGCTTCGCACCGATCGAGGTGGTGAGTATCTGTCCACGGAGTTTAAGTCTTTTCTGATTGCAAATGGTACTCAGCATCAAATGACGACTGCGTACACTCCGGAGCAAAATGGCGTCGCCGAACGACTGAACAGAACTTTGGTAAACTTGGTGCGCTCCATGCTAGCGCACAACAAAGTTACAAAGGGGTTCTGGGCAGAAACACTTGCCAATGCAGTGTACGTTCGAAATCAAGTCACGTCACGTGCCATTCCCCCCAAGATGACCCCATACCACTTATGGATGAAATCTGTGCCAAATGTTGGTCATTTGCGTGTTTTCGGTTCAAAGTGTTGGTATACATTACCAAAACACAACATCCAGAAACTTGACGCCCGTGCAAAGGAGGCAATGTTTCTGGGGTATGCTGAAAATACGAAAGCTTACAAGTTGTGGGATGGTGATTTACACAAAGTGATCGTATCCAGAGATGTTACTTTTGACGAGTCCACGGGAGGCAAATCTGGTGAACCGATGGATACAAACGAGGAGGCTACAACTGATGATGACACAATCAACTTGAACATCGATGAGGAAGTTGCAGAAAATGATGCAGTGGCATCAGAAGCATCATCGCCGGATGAACAACAAGACTCTGATGAATCCTCCAACTCCTCCCCAACTGCAGGGGAGGACGAAACTACCGAAACAGTTGACCAACACGTAGTTGAGGAAGAAACTATTGATCCGCCAACTAATCTCCGTCGGTCCACTCGCATTCGCAAAACGCCTGGGGCGTGGTGGGCAGCAGCTTTGGTGACTGCTGGACTCCTTAGCCACGCCCATGTGATAACGGAAATCCCAAACTCGTACAAGCAAGCTATGGATTCTCCAAAAGCTCGCTTCTGGCAGAAGGGCATCGACAAAGAACTTGCTTCACAACACAAAAAAAAAACATGGACACTTGTTCCAAGATCTCAAGCATCAAACGTCCTGACGTCCAGGTGGGTTTTCGGAGTGAAGCAACTTCCTGACGAGTCCGGAAAATTGGTCGAAACTGCAAAGGGACGTCTTGTGGCACGAGGCTTTCAACAAGTAGAAGGCATCGATTACACTGAAACTTTCGCCCCTGTCATCAAGTTCACAACTATCCGTCTGCTGCTGGCACTGGTTGCGCACTTTGACCTTGAGCTGCATCAGATGGACGTGGTGACTGCCTTCCTCAACGGTGACCTTCACAAAGAAATCTACATGGAGCAACCTGAAGGATGCATCGACAAAGTCAAACCTGATTCGGTGTGTAAACTTTTGAAAGCAATCTATGGTCTTAAGCAAGCCCATCGCCAATGGCATAGTAAGATCGATGAGTTTCTGATCACTGAACTTGGTTTCAACACTACACGCAGCGACCCATGTCTTTACATTCGACGTCAAGGCAATGTCATCATGATTATCGCGTTGTACGTGGACGATCTGCTGCTAGCTGGAAGTGACTTGGAGGCCATATTATGGATGAAAAATGAACTCAACAAACGATTCGATATGAAAGACCTTGGCGAAGCTAAGACTTGTATTGGTCTAGAGATCGACCGTATACGTTCTAAACACGTCCTGACCGTCACGCAGTCGAAGTATGCCCAAGCAGTACTGAAACGGTTCAAAATGTCGGCATGCAATCCTTGCGTTACTCCGATGGAACAGTCTCGACATGTCACAATGCAAGTGGCCGAAACTGGCACTGATGACAATCCATGCTTTGAACCATATCGTCAGGCCATTGGATGTCTAATGTTCCTAATGGTCGGGACCCGCCCCGATATTGCGTATGCCATTGGAAAGTTATCTCAACACTGTGCCGACCCTCACGAGTCGCACTGGTCAGGTGTGAAACGTGTTTTGAGATACTTGCGTGGGTCCCAGCATCTTGGAATAGTGTTTGGTAAAGATGATCTTGGTACGGAACTTCATGGGTATAGCGACGCAGATTGGGGTGGATGCCTTGAATCACGAAAATCAACGAGTGGGTACGTGTTCAAGCTTTGTGATGGGCCTATCAGTTGGGCTTCCCGGAAACAAACAGTAGTTGCAAAGTCTACTTGTGAGGCAGAATACATCGCACTCAGTGAAGCATGCAAAGAGGCCGCGTGGCTTCGACGCTTCCATGCTGATGTACTTGGTGCGAATTCGGATCCAACAATTCGCGTTGGATGTGACAACGCTGGTACGATTGCGTTTGCTCAGAACGAATCTACAAATCGTCGCAACAAGCACATTGATATTACGTATCATTTTGTTCGAGATGCGGTGCAGCGAAAACTGGTCACATTGTACCATTGTCCGACAACAGAAATGCCAGCCGATATGCTGACCAAACCACTTGGTCGCGTGCTGTTTGAAAAGTTCGTGGGCATGGTTGGGCTTTCCGAGTGCAAAGCTGCCCAAAGCATGTGATCGAGGGGAGGTATTGAAAATGTGCGACCACATGCTGTTATCTGAAAAGGTCAAAATCGAGTGACACGTGTACATGACTGCACGGTCCGGGCGCTCTTACCCATATCACGACATGACACGTGCAAAATCCCAGATTTTGGGGTTCCGGGGACGAAAGTGGCCTCTCGGAGGGTCATGCAAATTTGCATAGTTTTGCCAAGTGGAACCTTGGCCCGTAGCACTATAGACTACACAGGAAATACTGCAATTCTATTGGCCCTCAGGTCTAATGCTGCAAATCTATTGGTCGAGCGTTGTCCACGTGTGCGTCATTGGCCTTGTGATGTACTTTAAATGGCCTGTATATGCCATAATTATGTTGTTTTGAGGGTTTCAAGTGGTTTGCCATGGTTGTGATGGGTAATTGCATGGGGCCCCCCGGCGGGACACATGTATGCCGTGTACACATGTACACGTCGCCAGGTGGATTCGTGTACGTACACATGTACATGCATCCAGGTGTATGCACATGAGGGTTTACAGTTTTACAGTGTCAGACTGTTTGCGATCCTGCGCGTGTCCGAGTACAGTACATGTGAATCAAAAGTACAACAAGTACTTCTGGCGAGAGGAATACAGTTGTGCGATTATTCTGTGTACGCGTCACGCTGTATGCGAGTCTTGCGTGAGCACGCGCCGTTGCACTGTGCTCTCGTCATGGTGCGCCGTTGGATGCAAGTTCATGACAGTACTCGTGTGACTTACATGTATTCTCATGTGAGTTGTGTAGAAAGTCTGGATGCACATTGTTATAACTTGCCATAATTATCTGACAGTGCTTGGCGAAATTAGTAAGGTGAGAAACAAAGATACGTATGGCGATTGTGATATGAAAGACGTTTGCGTTGTTGGAAATAGACAAGGGCCAAGTTGTTCGTTGCACAACAATGAAGTCTGGCATGACTGGATGCAGATTAGTAAGGTGTGAAACAGTTGCATGCATAGGGCCATGGTTTACAGTCATTTGGAATGTGTAGAAATAGTTGTCAGCTAATAGTTACGAATCGGTTCGTAAGGTGGAAATCGAACAGTATGGTCGGGCCACAAGAGGACCGCGCTTGGTCGCGCATAGTAGAGTATGGTTTACTGGGAGTCGGAGTAGAGCGATAGTGTAGCACTCGAAGTGTATAAGTATCGCAGGAAAACGGCTTCAAAGTAAACGTCGGCACCAACTCCTTCACTCACACACATCAACCTGCCTTCCTTCTTTCCCTTGCCCCTCCGAACCTACCATTACTTTCCCTTGCCCCTCCGAACCTACCATTATGTATTAACGGGCAAAGCGCGTGAAGTAACTCGATTACGTACATATACCGAAGTGGCAAGAGCTTCGGCCCAGAATCGCTTACTGACCTGTTTATGAGAAAGCATAGAGCGGACAAGATCAATCAAAGTTCGATTTAAACGTTCAGCAACACCGTTTTGTTCAGGGGTGTACGCCGTTGTGAGTTGGTGCTGCGTACCGTTTAAATCTAAATGCGACTTGAATTCCGTCGACAAGTACTCTCCCCCTCGATCAGTGCGAAGCACCTTTACTTTGCGACCAGTGTGGGTTTGAACCAATTTTTCATACAACTTGTATTTTGCAAACGCCTCAGATTTATTTCTCATCGTGTACACAACTAACCAGTTCGAGTGATCATCTACAAATGTAATGAAGTATCTCGAACCACCAATGGACTGTACTTCGAGGGGACCGCAAACGTCAGAATGTACCAAGTCAAGACAGTTCTGTGCTCGAGACGATGATCGCTGTTTTGGGATTACTGATCGCGTTGCTTTGCCAAACACACACGCAGGACAAATGGGAGAGTGATTGTCAGACTTCGGATTCATTGCACTGATCACATCGCTTTGACGAACGTTGATGCCACTTACCACATTATTGTGAATCATTGATGCGATTCCTTGTACACTAACATGGGCCATGCGTTCATGTAGCGTCTACAGGGTAACTACGTGAGCAGAAAAGGTTTCATTCATGACGTCAAGTATGTACAAATCCCCAACTTGACTCGCTGTAGCAACTACAGTTGGTCCTGCAGTAACGATGCATTTGTCATTTTCAAATGACACTTGCAAGCCCTTTGAAACGATTTGGCTAACAGACAGTAGCGAGTATCCGAAATCAGGGACGTGCAAAACGTTTGACAATTTGCAAGGATGTGGACTACCGTTCACATTCAACATGAATTCTACCTCGCCGCGACCAGCGACATTAGCTCTAGCCTTCGTGCCCATCTCGACTGATCCAGATTGCATCTGTTCATACGTAACGAACAAAGAGCGATCAAACGTAATGTGAGCGCTGCAACCGGAATCGACAAGCCATGACCTTGCGTTTGCAGCCCTCTTGTCTGGAGTGGAAGTCGAAAGCAAGCAAGTAAAGTCACTCTCCGCAAAGGCAGCAGTAGAATTGTCATCTCGAGAAACGAATGCACTTGGCTTCAAGCCAGTGTTGCGTGACCGAAACCCATCTGGCGGTGCAGGTCGGCGCCCATTCACGTCCTTGCCCCAGCAACGCGCTGCAGTATGCCCATGTCTATTGCAATTCGTACATTTCATATCGCATCGAATAGGCATACGATTGACAAGTGCAGGTGGATGTGGTGATGAAGCAGAAGCGGTCTTCATGCTTTCTCGTTGTTCTTCTTGCAGCAGACGACTCTTCACAAACTCGAGTCCAAACACTTTATCTTCATTGCCAAGTGCGTCAAGAGCAACAATCAGGTTATCGAATCGTGGAGGCAAGCCATTCAACACAGCCATTGCAATTTCTTTATCGTCAATCTCAACACTCATTGACTGCAATCTGGCAGCAAGTTGCTTCACACGATTGATGAACACGAGCACTTTCTCGGATGGGAGCATGGATACAGTGTAGAAGTCGCGACGGGCGGCAAGTTTGTTGAGCAAAGTATGACGCTCAAACACATTCAGAATTGCTTCCCATGTCTCTTTCGCACTGCTACACCCTCGCACATGTTGCAAGTAGTCATCAGAAAGCGTGAGTCCGATGACTGCCTTTGCTTTTGCGTCACCACGGATCCATTTTCTCCGGTCATCTGAGGTGGCATTCTCCGGGATATCATCAAAAACGTATTGATCGACATCTCGGAGAGCAAGCAGTAGCTGGATTTTCTGCTTCCAGATGTGAAAGTTAGATGCGGTCAGCTTCTCGATTCTGACCGATCCAGAGCTTTGGTCATCCATTTCGCCGAATGGATGTACCCTTCGAGTATACAAGCTCTTCTGTTCCGGGATCCCAAGCCGTTAACCGATAGTCAACACAATGGCAAGCCCACCCGTATAAGAAGTTTGTAGCGATTACTCAGAAACGTTCTTGGTGCTTGTTCCCGGCGGAGTGGAACAAGCGTATTCTTCTTAAAAATGCCTTAGGGCGCTACCCCTATATGTCGGCCAGTGCGGGTCTTTCGACTGTGAACTAAATCAAACGTGCCACGAGTAAGCACAACACTTTGCCTGTAGACGAACCAGGACTTTTGGTCACTACCGCGAACGGTCCCTGCAACCTAAATCGGCTTGTCCAAACTTGATACGGTACTACCCCAATGAGGTTTCCCACAACACAAGAATGAAACTGCCTTCGTCGTACTCGTGTGATTTGTTCACAATCACGCCTAGGGTCACCCTCTTCCGTGCGAACTTAATCAAGGTACGCGACCTTATACACGTATAGTGAGAGGTTCAGTGTTTAGGCACGTATTCTCTTCACCCAGGGGACCGAAGTCGTACCTATAGGGCTAATACCGAGAGCGTTACCCACACCGCCGACGCACCTCCCGAAGGCAGAGTGCGGATCGACTAGACCAGTACACTGTGATCCTCCCCGAGGATCAGTGTTTCGTCTCTCGACGATTCTTGGTCGGACCCTCGCTCAAGTCAGATTTCCAATGGCACAAGCCTTTCACCAAGAGCGAGGGTATCGGCAGCTACGAAGATCACCGGCGTGATCGAAGGGCAGTCTTCTTGGATTGATATGGTACGTTGGCGACTAGGGACTACACCCACAGCTCACACAACGATTGCCAAGACCAAGGTGCAACAGACACGAAGAAGATCCACCAAGTTGAAACGACAGCAGGTAGACGGAGACGAACGACCAAGATGATAACGACAGCAAGTAGACGGCGATAGAACAAAACAAACGACGGCGGCGATGAAAACGGCGGCGGAAACGACAGCAGAAACCAAAACGAGAACGACAGCGGAGACCAAAACGAGAACGACAGCAGAAACAAACACGAAAACGGCAGCAGAAACGGAGAACGAGCACTCACACAGCGGAATAATAACGTTGAACTGGGCCCATAACCTACTGGAAGGTCAGCGGGGCAAAGGGAAATCGAAGGACGGTTGATGAGGTGAAGTTGAAGGATTGGGTACCGATTTACTTTGAGTCGCCAACTTCTGGCACTACTTATACACTTCTGCAATCTTCTAGAACTCTAGTACCAAACACTACGACACACATACTACAAATGTATTGGCTCTAACACATGTGCCCGTCTTGCTACTCAGCCAAACTGGCGATGGCCCAACAAACAGAACAGAAAACCGCCTTACGAATTAGCACTGTCATGACGGAGAAATTAGTAAGGCAGTACAACAAAGCACAGCAAAGCACAAATTCCCTTACTATTCCAAATCCAGCGTGGCACAAATTCGTAAGGCACGTTTACAGCTCACACGTTGCCTTACGAATTCAAATCAATCCTGCAAGGACTGTTTACAGCGCACACGTTGCCTTATGAATCTGAATCTCTCGTGAGGTCCTGTCCACTGTCAATTACAACAGTGCACATTTTGCCTTACGAATTCAAAACTCGCGCAACGGTATCTTTGTGTCCTGCTGTACCCGTGCTACACTCCATGGACGCTGTAAACCTTTGGCACGTGCCAGGCACCCGCCACCAAGGTTCTACACTTTGTCTGTAAGACTGCAGGCGTACTGTACGCGTCCGACAGTGTAATGAGGACATGTGTCCAGGTCATACACGTGTCGGGCGAAGAAAAATTAAACATGCTCAGATTGTACTGTACACCGCAACCGTGTACATATTTCACACGTGTACATGTTGAAAACCAAACTTGCTCCTGGAGTACTGTAGAGTGCAACTGTGTACAGAAATCACACGTGTACACGTTGAAAATCAAACTTGCTCAGCTCGGCACGCCGAGTGTTCTCGATTTTACACGTGTCATACCTGTCGTCGTGTATCATGCATATCAGCATGTGGTCGTAGAATTACAACAAAGCATGTCACGTACTCGCGTGCGGACATGCGACAGCAGATGTTGGAGGGAGACAGCGTCAATCTCTTGGGGTTTTTCCTTCGACGAAGCCGGGGGGAGCTTCTCCCCCTTCTCAGATTGGGGCTTGTCCCCTTCTGTAAATTCCGCCGCTAGGAGGGCGTGGAGAGGCATCGCGGTGCGTATCATGGCACTAATGGTAGGTTCGGAGGGGCAAGGGAAAGAAGGAAGGCAGGTTGATGTGTGTGAGTGAAGGAGTTGGTGCCGACGTTTACTTTGAAGCCGTTTTCCTGCGATACTTATACACTTCGAGTGCTACACTATCGCTCTACTCCGACTCCCAGTAAACCATACTCTACTATGCGCGACCAAGCGCGGTCCTCTTGTGGCCCGACCATACTGTTCGATTTCCACCTTACGAATCGATTCGTAACTATTAGCTCACAACTATTTCTACACATTCCAAATGACTGTAAACCATGGCCCTATGCATGCAACTGTTTCACACCTTACTAATCTGCATCCAGTCATGCCAGACTTCATTGTTGTGCAACGAACAACTTGGCACTTGTCTATTTCCAACAACGCAAACGTCTTTCATATCACAATCGCCATACGTATCCTTGTTTCTCACCTTACTAATTTCGCCAAGCACTGTCAGATAATTATGGCAAGTTATAACAATGTGCATCCAGACTTTCTACACAACTCACATGAGAATACATGTAAGTCACACGAGTACTGTCATGAACTTGCATCCAACGGCGCACCATGACGAGAGCACAGTGCAACGGCGCGTGCTCACGCAAGACTCGCATACAGCGTGACGCGTACACAGAATAATCGCACAACTGTATTCCTCTCGCCAGAAGTACTTGTTGTACTTTTGATTCACATGTACTGTACTCGGACACGCGCAGGATCGCAAACAGTCTGACACTGTAAAACTGTAAACCCTCATGTGCATACACCTGGATGCGTGTACATGTGTACGTACACGAATCCACCTGGCGACGTGTACATGTGTACACAGCATACATGTGTGCCCGGGGGCCCCATGCAACTACCCATTACAACCATGGCAAACCACTTGAAACCCCCAAAACAACGTAATTATGGCATATACAGGCCATTTAAAGTACATCACAAGGCCAATGACGCACACGTGGACAACGTTCGACCAATAGATTTGCAGCATTAGACCTAAGGGCCAATAGAATTGCAGTATTTCCTGTGTAGTCTATAGTGCTACGGGCCAAGGTTCCACTTGGCAAAACTATGCAAATTTGCATGACCCTCCGAGAGGCCACTTTCGTCCCCGGAACCCCAAAATCTGGGATTTTACACGTGTCATGTCGTGATATGGGTAAGAGCGCCCGGACCGTGCAGTCATGTACACGTGTCACTCGATTTTGACCTTTTCAGATAACAGCATGTGGTCGCACATTTTCAATATTTAGTTCACAGTCGAAAGACCCGCACTGGCCGACATATAGGGGTAGCGCCCTAAGGCATTTTTAAGAAGAATACGCTTGTTCCACTCCGCCGGGAACAAGCACCAAGAACGTTTCCGAGTAATCGCTACAAACTTCCTATACGGGTGGGCTTGCCATTGTGTTGACTATCGGTTAACGGCTTGGGATCCCGGAACAGAAGACCTTGTATACTCGAAGGGTACATCCATTCGGCGAAATGGATGACCAAAGCTCTGGATCGGTCAGAATCGAGAAGCTGACCGCATCTAACTTTCACATCTGGAAGCAGAAAATCCAGCTACTGCTTGCTCTCCGAGATGTCGATCAATACGTTTTTGATGATATCCCGGAGAATGCCACCTCAGATGACCGGAGAAAATGGATCCGTGGTGACGCAAAAGCAAAGGCAGTCATCGGACTCACGCTTTCTGATGACTACTTGCAACATGTGCGAGGGTGTAGCAGTGCGAAAGAGACATGGGAAGCAATTCTGAATGTGTTTGAGCGTCATACTTTGCTCAACAAACTTGCCGCCCGTCGCGACTTCTACACTGTATCCATGCTCCCATCCGAGAAAGTGCTCGTGTTCATCAATCGTGTGAAGCAACTTGCTGCCAGATTGCAGTCAATGAGTGTTGAGATTGACGATAAAGAAATTGCAATGGCTGTGTTGAATGGCTTGCCTCCACGATTCGATAACCTGATTGTTGCTCTTGACGCACTTGGCAATGAAGATAAAGTGTTTGGACTCGAGTTTGTGAAGAGTCGTCTGCTGCAAGAAGAACAACGAGAAAGCATGAAGACCGCTTCTGCTTCATCACCACATCCACCTGCACTTGTCAATCGTATGCCTATTCGATGCGATATGAAATGTACGAATTGCAATAGACATGGGCATACTGCAGCGCGTTGCTGGGGCAAGGACGTGAATGGGCGCCGACCTGCACCGCCAGATGGGTTTCGGTCACGCAACACTGGCTTGAAGCCAAGTGCATTCGTTTCTCGAGATGACAATTCTACTGCTGCCTTTGCGGAGAGTGACTTTACTTGCTTGCTTTCGACTTCCACTCCAGACAAGAGGGCTGCAAACGCAAGGTCATGGCTTGTCGATTCCGGTTGCAGCGCTCACATTACGTTTGATCGCTCTTTGTTCGTTACGTATGAACAGATGCAATCTGGATCAGTCGAGATGGGCACGAAGGCTAGAGCTAATGTCGCTGGTCGCGGCGAGGTAGAATTCATGTTGAATGTGAACGGTAGTCCACATCCTTGCAAATTGTCAAACGTTTTGCACGTCCCTGATTTCGGATACTCGCTACTGTCTGTTAGCCAAATCGTTTCAAAGGGCTTGCAAGTGTCATTTGAAAATGACAAATGCATCGTTACTGCAGGACCAACTGTAGTTGCTACAGCGAGTCAAGTTGGGGATTTGTACATACTTGACGTCATGAATGAAACCTTTTC